CCCCCCCCCCCGCGATACAAAAGAATGAAAAGGCCCATTGTATTATGTTAAGCATCGTCTGTTACATAATATATCTATCTGTAGACGTAAATAACCGATAACATTTCTTTGTTACAACTTTGTTTTTTTTATCGTAATCATTTCGATAAAGTCAAAGGAATTTTTTTAACACTTCAAATTAATCCACGTGTTTGTAAAATGACGCGGGATGAAGCTACGCAATATTTTATTCGACTGTAGAATTCAAACTTGATATTAATCTTACTTCTTACTAATCTTATAAATGCGAACGTTCAGATGGATGGATGTTTGTAGGAAGGTATCTTAATAACGGCTAGATGGATTGCGATGAAATTTGGCATAGATGTAATAGTCTGGAAGGACACATACGCTTATTATTTTTTTAATACCACGCGGACTGAGTTGTCGACAGCTAGTGCATACATATCGTTGTCTTTGTTTTCTCTAACAGAATGAAAGAGATGGTAATATATAATACTCGTGTCTGTAGAAATTTACTTTTAGGATAGTTTATTTTTGAAACATAACATTATTATGAATGTAATTTTATATATATTTTGTCGTATTGAATTGTAACATTAAATTAAATAATTCGACTGCACATAAGGTTATCGGACATATTTGAAAAAATTAATTTAGTTGTATTACTTAAAATAAAAGCTAATATTTAGTTTATAGATAATAAAATATTATCATCGTAGATTCTTTACACTGGTTGCACTTTTTAAAACATTTTTTCTTTCGTTTTTTTTTTTTATGTTACACGCATAACGAAGTTAATAATTGACTGGGTTTGAACTTTAAATCGATAGATTACGTTTATTTAACGATTTGTAATTAATTAGAATTTTGCATTGGATTCGTGTTTTGGACAGTTTGTTCTAATATCTATATATGTATATAAGAAAGTCATGTTAGTTACACTATATATAACTCAAGAACGGCTTACCGATTTAGGTGAAAATTGGTGAGGAGGTAGCTTAGAGCCAGGAGACGGACATAAGATACTATTTGTTATTTTTTTATTTTTAGTTTTTTTTATATATCCACGCGGACGGAGTCGCGGGCGACAGCTAGTTTTGTTATAAAGATAAACGATATGTCATCAAAAGAACTGTAAAAAATCCGGACATTTTGATCCTCTTTTGTTTTAAAAACAAAAAGCATTTTGATAGTGTAATACGCGGGAAATTGATGCGAGATTGTTTACTTTTGAACGCAGTAACATCTCCATAGATGCATAATTTTTGAAGTGTCTGTTACCTAACATATTACGTTATTTTATACTCTGTAGGCCGAATTCAAATGATAAAATCTCTGATTATAAAACGTCAAAAGATACGGATAAATTACCTTTTGACGTTTCTATGCAGTATAATATTTTTTATTAGCTAACTATTTTGATAATGGCAAAGGTCGTTGACTTTTGAGCCACAATGTTTTTTTTTTCAGAAAAAATATATAACATTTATAAAAAGTGTTTATATTTAAAAAATGAGACTATTTTTATATTATATTTTTTTTATGTTATATTGCGTGCGTTTAAAAATTAGTTTCGCGAAATAAATTATTATTGTGATTATAAAACAATGACGTACATAATTAAATTTACATTATAGATGTTTAAGTTTTTTAAAATTAATTAGGTAATTTCTTTGCGTTTAATAATTACTAGAGTTAAATTCTAGTTAATCCAATTAGAAATTTATTTAGTAAATTTTTATCTTGTTTTTTTTTATGAAAGGTACATAATATGGTTCTTCCAACTCCTATTTGGTAATATTATATATTAATATAGTTAGTGGAACCAAACTGAAATGTCAATATTAACTGCGTCCCGTTTAACAGTTACGGTGCACTAAAATATTTTTATGACATAAACATATAAAATAAACAAACAGACATGCGACTGGCTTGCAATGAAAATATTTATAGAAACATGCAGTTAAAACTTACCAAAAAATTATACGATGCGACCGATTATTCTGACGAAGAACAGAAAGAAGCGCAGAACATTTTCCAAATAAGACTTTTTGAAAAAAAAACACAACACAAACACGATGGTAAATGTAACAAAAATTTAAGAAAAAAAAATCGCAAAAATGCACGTCAAAAATAATCGATTCGTTATTAAAAAAAATAAATGTCAAATAAAATAGTTCGTGGCGCGTCTTATATTTCGAACGTTCGAATTCGAAATTCAAATTTGAGCGGGTACGTTCATAAAGCGCGCGATGCGGTCGCGGACTGAACGCATTTCATTGAGGGCTCAACGCGCCGGCCGCGCCGTAGCCGTGCAAAGTACAAACGCAGCGCCAACATTGTTTGATGACGTTGGCGTATTGGAAGTTGGCTTTCAAATGCAGTAGCTAAACGGCTAATTGGAAAAAGCTACGGAAAGTAAATATTACATTCAATATAAGCATACTGACAAAAAATAAGTAATTATTACTTTGGAAATATTTAAGCGGGTTTTAAAATAAAAAATCCTTGCAGGGTTCAATATGTTAAGATAAATAGTTGTTTGAAAGTACTATTTAAAATATTGCTTGCTTGTTTGATTAATATAGTACTGTAGCAATGGAAACATTTAGAATTAAAGATTATATAGAGTTTTCATTTACACCTATTTTCTTCGTTTATATTGGTATATATTATTCCGTTTAACTTGATAAAGCTTTCAAAGATGTTTTACAATCGTGAAATTTAACTTCTTAATCTACTCGCTACGAGATGGCGCTGAATTTTCCAAACTTTGATTTACGCCATTAGATAATAGATGGCGTATGGAACGCATTTATAAAACTATTTTTTATTTTGATCCATTTTAAAATTACACATAAAAAGTAAACATTGCTTTAAAATGTTAAACTTAAGTCATAAAAAAGATCCTTGTTCATTTTACTCCGAAACGTTAACAATTTTGTAAAGAGGAAAGGAAAGGATTGTAAAGATTAGATAAAAAAAACATTTATGCTTTTCTCACGATCATTAAACAGATTCTTGGTACAAATACAAAATATAGATAATATAGGTATTAGGTAACAATACATGTATAGAATAGTAACTTATTTGTCAGGGAACACTTATCTAATACCATTGGAAAAAGAAAAAAACCCCATGAAAACAAAGGACAAAAGAAACAACACTCATATCGATTATTTCATTTATTACCGAAGTATTTTCATTTTACTCATTTGTGTTTATTAATCAATAATTATAAGAATGCAACAAACTTTAAAGCATTCAACTCTAGTTAGTTCGATGAAACAGTTAACTTTTTAAAAGCAAACTGTTAGTACAAAAACAAAGCAAGAAAACACTTTCTATCTCTTTCTATAGAAGTCAGTAACTGTACATTGTAAATAACACGACAAGGTCGCATAAATTAAAATCCTTCGGCAAAACATCTGCGGTGAAACGTGTTTTTAGTAATTATTCGCATAAAGTGGGTTTTCACTCCAATGATACTTGTATAATATTCGTTTTCACATTTTTATATTATTGTTTTCGAATATATTTCTAATTTAAAAAATGTTTTAAAACGCAGACAACAGATGGCTCTATTTCATCCGTCACAAACTGTCAGTCGCAATTTTTAAATTAAAGGTTGTTGTTTAAAGCCAGTTTTTAAATATTAATTTTAAAAAAAATGTCGTTGTATTCTATTTATATTTTTATTAATATTTTAGAATCTATCCATCAAATAAATTAATATAAAATATTTCCCAATAGAAATGGCAGAGATTAATTAATAATTTGATTAATGTATATATTTTTAAAACACGTTTGCCGCGCGAGTGCACGTGACGAGAAAAAACCGACGCCATTTTTAAAATTAGTTTACGCTTTTACACTAATCAAATGAGTGTTTTTATATTGAATTATAATATTAGTATTTTGTTGGTTAGAATTCTGTTTCGGAGAATTATTTTTAAATTATACGCTTTTTAGTTTAAAATTTTGTCAGATATTATAAACTACTAAAATCGGTGTCGGAACCGGACCAAATAATTGTGAATTAAATCGTTTTAAATTAGTTTTTAGGTTATAAATATGTTTAATCAAGCTGAGAAAAGACATTATAATAAACAAACAGTATAAAATCTTTTTAAATTGTAGTCAGACATGTTGATATACTTAAAAAGGTATGTAGATATGTTATTTGAAATCGTGATTACATTCCGATGCTCAATAAGGCTTCGAAGAAATCAAGTTGAGATCATGGCCGACCAGTTTTTATTATTAATCATCTCTCTTAAAGCATCTCTGGCTATCTTATTAATTAAATGCAGTCAGCAAGTTATAAAGATTCATTTACCGTAGGTTTCTGAGACCAAAATCCTCTTTTAAAACATAATGTTAATGACAGGCATGATATATTTTATACAGATATTTTGGTCTGCGAAAAAAATATTCTACATTTCAAATTATCAAATAAAAACTATTTCGTAATTATTTTGTCGTTTCTTGTTAAATTTCATTTTATAAAACAATAAGAAATTCCTAGACTTAGGCACACGGGCTAACCTACCTACAACTTTCGATATGGTTTCCAGAAACTAGATTATATAAGCTTTTCAGAACTTTGTTTTATAATATGCAAACATTATGGCGGCTTGATGATAAATGCGTGCAAAATGTGTGTAGAGAAAATCACGAACATGGCGAACATGCCGATCTTTTTACGTCTTATCGATACCTAATTTCACAGCTTGCAGCTGATATAACTAAAGCGAAGCGAACGTTACATAGACATTTGCAGTATGTTATGTTTTCTGCGGTGTATGCGAGCAATCGTAAAGTTTGGATGGCTTTATACTTATTACATGACCGGTTGATTACGTAAAGGGTAAGTTGTGGTAAGTTAGCGGTACCGCATTAGCTTTGTACAATGTCGCTAAGTAATTAAGTAAAATGCTTAATTAGTTATTAAATAAGTAATAAATATTAATCAAAGTATCTTCTTATATACTATGACTTCTATCAAAAGTAAATGTTATATGGATGGATGGATGTGATATTTTTTCTGTCCTCTTTAACTTTGAAGTAATAAAAAAATTCTTTTAGTATAGTTAGCTGCCGTCAGCGACTCCGACAACGCGGAATTAAAAAAAATCATAATAGCCTATGTTTTCTTCCAGACTATGTTCTACATGTGTGCCAAATTTCATCAAAATCCGTTCAGCCGTTCCGGAGATACCTTCAAACAAACATCCATCCATCCATCTAAACTTTTGCATTTATATTATAGTTAAGATTAAGATGAAGTTTAAGATTAAACCTAGGTAAAGGTTCTCAATTTGTCTGTATGTTAATTTTTATATAATATTAATCTGAGACGGTTAAAATTAGCTCTCATGTAGCGTTTTATTAACTACAAATGTATGAAAAAGTACAACAATGCACAATAGAAATCAATTTCCATGACTAACTACAAAATTAGCACAATGAGATTGTTATGACTGCAAAAAAGAGTTAAATCGAGAAAATAAAACCAAATAACTAAAACACGGTACTAAATCGTACTAATATTATAAACGCGAATGTTTTTTTTTTATATCACAAGCTGGCAAACGAGCGAGCGGCCACCTGAAATCGCTGAAATAGCGAAGTGACCGTTGCCCATAGACATTTTTTTTTATATCAAAAGGTGGCAAATGAGCAATCGGCCACCCGAAATCGCTGAAATAGCGAAGTGACCGTTGCCCATGGACATACGCAATTGCATATGCATTGCCTACCTTTAATCGACGAAGGAGAGGATGCACAGAAAGAAAATATTTTCCCTTCCCATGCATCCTCTCATCCGGAAAGTCCACTTCCACTTCCCATCCTTTCCTTCTAAGAAAAAGGGTGGGAAGGGAAAGAGGACTAAATTAGGCCTCCGGGACGCACACTCATCAGACGAAACGCGGAATTGCTTCCACTTCACGCCTGTCTTCTGTGTGGTCGTGGTATTTCACCGGGCGAGCCGGGCCGATTCGTGCAAAGATATTAAAGCGGGCTCTACCACTGTTAAAGACATACGCAATTGCATATGCGTCGCCTACCTTTAATCGACGGAGAAGAGGATGCACAGAAAGAAAATATTTTCCCCTTTCCATGCATCCTCTCATCCGGAAAGTCCTCTTCCACTTCCCATCCTTTCCTTATAAGAAATATGACGGGAAGGGAAAGAGGACTAATTTTGGCCTCCGGGACGCATGTTTGGATGGATGTTAGAAGGTATCTGCATAACAGCTGCATGGGTCTTACTGAAATTTGGCATAGATGTAAACATAGCCTGGAAGAATACATAGGCTACGAAAAAAAATTTATTTATTGCAGACGGAGTCGCGGGCGACAGCTAGATGATAAAGCTTTCAAAATGCTATTAACAATTCTTTAGATTAATAAAATGCTTTTAAACGTATCCTAAATATAATTTGATGTATGCAAAATATTCCTTTGTCTGGAACTCCTTTAACAAAGACCTTAAATGTTTCGCAATTTACTAAAACTAACTCCTAAACTATTCGACTACTTTATCCAGTATGAAACATCCACAAAGGAATTCCCTTTAAGTCAACTGAGGTATTTCCTACAAAGCCTTTTAGAATATAACCAAAACAATCAAACAATTAACTACCTTATACCATAGCAATAAAGTTTATTATTGCATTTGTACTAATACAAAACATAAATATATTTTGCTGATAAAACACACAAAATACGACTTTATCTAAAAGAAATAAGATGTATTACGATAGCAATGAACAACTTCCGTATATTTATATTAATTGCCAATTAAAATTGAACTTTAAAATCAAGGAGATATGTTCTATTTTCAAATAACAAGTATACTAGTACAATTATTTACAAATATAATAATTTTAATTTAAACCAAACTGAACTTTATCCTAACGCAATAAGGTGTCTAGAACAGCAAAATAATTTGTAAAGTATCTTAGAGTTATCCCAGCAAAAAATGTTCAATGAAGTATTGTACGTCCGTTAATGTATAAGCAGGTAAAAACTCCAAGAATTACTGAAATGTTAGCTTTTTTATCGTGACTTATGAGAACTTTTCGCCGCAAAAATTGGGTACTGTTTTGGTGTCCGAAAGTGTCTTGATCCCTCGTAATTTGTCTCTCTACTCTGTCCAGTTCTTTGGTATATATAAAAGAAACTCGTGTTAGTTATACTATTTATAACTAAAGAACGGCTTTACCGATATGGTTGAAAATTGGTGAGGAGGTAGCTTAGAGCCAGGAGACGGACTTAGGATACTATTAATTTTTATTTTTTTCGAATTAATGCCTTGAAGAGCTGCTTATTATTTAACTGATCTATATATTAACTAGTCTTTGATAAAATAGAGATAGCAATAAATTTAAAACTGG